CAGGCACGCGCTACCATGCCCGGCTGATTTTTTGATTTATTGTAGAGATGAGGTCTTGCCAAATTGCCCAGGCGGGTCTCGAACCCGCGGGCTCAGGCAATCCACTCACCTCGGCCTCCCAAGGTGCGGGATTACAGGCTGAGCCACCGAGCCCGGCTGAACATGGTTTTCAAACAATTTTATGTTTCAGTTGATTATGTGACAACTCTATTTGCTTTCTGGGGGTACTTCTTATGGAGGAAGGCACTGACCAAATAGGAATTTTTTTTCTAGATTTTCTAGTTCCCTTAGACTGAGTCAGTTTATTTTCCCTAGATCAAAGCTATGGATTCTAGGGAGTAAAAATACAAAAATTAAAAAGCAAAAGGTCAAACAACCTTTTACCTTTGCCTCAATGCTCACATCCTTAGCTACTTCAGCCCGTGCCTGAGTAAGATTGGGCAATAATTTCTTCTCAGTCAAGTGGTTCAGTGTTAGCTTAAGAGTAAATTTTTAAAAATTTATTTTTTAATTGACAAGTAAAAATTGTATATATTTATAGTGTATATGATGTGATATGTGTATATATTGTAGAATGGTGAAATCAAGTATGTAACATGCATTACCTCACATACTTACCATGTTTGAGGGGGCTAAGAATACCTAAAACATACCTTCTTAGCGAATTCAAATGTAATACAATATATTGTAATTTAACCATAGTTGCCATGATGTACAACAGATCTCTAGAACTTATTCTTCCTAACTGAAATTTTGTGCCCTTTGCCCATCCTCACCCCAATTCCAACATTCCCTGGCTAGTAACTCATGTTTTACACTATTCTATGGTTGGTAAATGATGTGGTTTCCCTATTTATCACTATCTGACATGCTTCGTATTTCATTTATTTGTTGTCTGTGTCTCCATCCTAGAATGTAAGTTGTCTGAGGGCATGAATTTTTGTTCCAATTTTTACCTGTTTCTAGTACTTATAGCAGTGGTTTACATATAGTGAGCATTCACATATTGCATACATGAATGAAACCAAACCATTGTATAAAACTGGTCTGTTATGATAAAATATGGTCAAATGTTTAAAAAGAAGTCTGGCCCCTTTAAGAAAAGTATATGAAGACAAATGTCCTTGAAACTGCTGTTGGTGTGAAAAAAACATATTCATAAAATTGCTGTTGGAAACTAATAGATATTTAAAGGGCAAAATTTGATAATTGGTCTGAAATGTGAAGCTTTATTGGTCTGAAATGTGAAGGGAAAGGTGAAGTTGTTTTTTTTTTAAGTTGCAGTCTCACTCTTTCACTCTGTAGCTCAGGCTGGAGTGCAGTGACACACTCATGGCCACCATAACCTCGACCTCCTAGGCTCAGGTGATCCTTCCACCTCAGCCTTCCAAGTAGCTAGAACCATAGGCGCGCACCATCCCACCTGGCTAATTTTTTGTTTTTTAAAAATTTGTTGTAGAGATGAGGTCTTGCCAGGTTGCCCAGGCTGGTCTTGAACTCCCGAACTCAGGCAATCCTCTCACTTCAGCCTCCCAAATTGCTGGGATTACATGTGTGAGCCACCACACCTGGCTAGGTGAAGTTTCTTAACTTCAAGATTAATTCTTTCCATTTTGATTTGTCAGTGTCTCTTTGAAATAAAACTTATTTTCAGGTTTCAGCTCTTTTACCTCTCCAATTAAGAATAAGTTTCTACCTTCAAAGAGCTCATGCTTTTGTAAGAAAATCAGTTACAGTAGACAAAATTATAATAAAAGGTGATGTCTGCTCTAACAGAGGAATATATGTTTGCATTCCATATGCAATTTTTGCAAAGCAGAGACCTTTTAATATTATTTAAATCAGGTGGATAAAATTTCTAAGAGGTGATATTTGAATTGGGTATTTATTGGTTGAGTAGGAATTTGCTTAAAATTCTCTGAAAGGGAAAAACATTTGATGTCAAAGGGAGCAATATACAGGGGGTGCCAAAAAAATGTATACATATTTTAAGTATGGTATTCGGTCAAAAGATGGCATTAATCAAATGATTGTTAGCATTACCGTGTGACAGGACAAAGAAAATGGCAGAAGCACAGTTGAGTGAATGTCATAGTACATATTGCTACCGTAATTTAATTCAACTTCAAAAAGTAATACATAGATAACATCTCTTAGAATGTATACACTGTTTGGTACCCTTGGATATAAAATAGTGTGTGTGTGTGTGTATATATATATATAATATAAAGCCTCAAACTGTGAAAATTGCATTTTTATTGACTAGCAAGAAGTATACCTGTCTCTTCTGTGGTCTTTGTATTAATATTTGTACAGTGATTCAGTTGTTTTTCTTACTGAGTTTTAAGTCTTCTTTATATAGTGTAGATACAAAGTCTTTTATCAGATGCTGCAAATATTTTTTTCAGGTCAGTGGCTTTACTTCATTTTCTTCATAATTTGAAAAGCCAACGGTTTTCATTTTGTTGAAATCATTATCAGTTCAAAAAACTGTTTTTGTCCTATCTAAACTTCTATTTGGTTTCTTCTAGAAGTTTTCATTTTAGCTCCCACATTTAGGATTGTGGTCTACTTTCAGTTAATTTCTGTGTGTGCTGTGAGGAGGGTTGGGGTTCATTTATTTGCATTTGCTTGTCCAATTCTTTTGGCACCATTTGTTTAAAATGTTATCCATTCTCCATTAAATTACCTTGACACCTTTGTAAAAAAAAATTGACTAAAATTTCACTTGTGAATAGGATGGAGGAAGCACACTTCACTAGGCAGAGTGCATGGAACAGCTATTTGAAGACGCTGAAAAGAAAATATCAGAGGCTATCAGGAAAGAGCAACACAATTTGAAGTACCACTGAACCCGCAGTGAGTTTACCATTTTTTTCCTCCAGTTTTCCTGCTATGTGGCCCCTGACAGAGCACAACAGAGCTGGGTAACTGAAGCCCCAGATTTCTTCCTAGAGCACTCAAAAGGGAATCTTCAGGGATGTAGAAGAACTGGAGAGCAACACCATAGTGTTGATGATGAATCCCCCAAGCTCCCATCTGAGCTGCACATGCTTGGATGTATTCTTAATCAGCACACGGCAGACGACTGCTCAGTTCCCAGACTGGCCACCAGGTGGTACACGAACACAGAAGAGATCTGAATGGCTCAGCAAAGGCTTTGAAAGAAGAGCTAACAGGGCAGGCTGGAATGTATGGCCTGGATTTACCCAGGTTGCCGGCTAAAATAAAAACATCAACATTCTCCATAGGATCTCAGAATGTTTAGGGTACAATAAAAAATACCTTGGCTTATGAAGAGCCAGGGAAATATTCATTCACATGATAAAGGATGAAGAATGTTCTTTGAAAACACTGATAAAAATAACAAAAGAGAAAACACAAATGCACCTGCTACACATGTGAGAGGTTTCTAGCCACCAATACAGATTTTAAAATTATGCTAAGTACAACTGTATGCCAACACATTTGGAAATCTGTATGAAATGGATGATTTTCAAGGAAAACAAATTACCAAAATTTATCCTTGCAGATATCTCAGGAAAGATAATTCCAGATAGAGGGAAGAGCAAGTACAAAGACCCTGAGGTGGGAATGTGCATGGTGTGTTTGAAGAACAAGAAAGGAATCCATGTAGCTGAGGGGCAGAAGGACAAAAAAAGAGGGCCAGCACTAAGAAACAAGGTTACAGACATGATGAGATGGAGATGGAATTTATTTCTAAGGGTTCTTCTGCAGGCTGTTGGAAGGGCTTTGGGTTTTAAACCAGGTAAAACGGATAACCAGTGGAGAATTATGACTAGATGATTGTTTTTAAATAACATCTTATCAAACTATTGGCTGCTGTGTGGAGAATAGGCAATGCGTGGGTTGGGGGAATGACAAGAGTGGCAGCAGGAAGACCAGCTATCACAGTAGTCCAGGCAACTAGTGATAGTGTCCAGCACCAGTGTGTTAGCATGAAGATGGTGAAAAGTTACCATATTCTGGTTATACTTGTATGGTAGAGCCTTCACAATTTCCCCAATAGATTATATGTGAACTATGAAAGAAAGGGGTCAAGGATGACTCCAAGATTTTTGGCAGGAGTACACAGAAGAACAAAGTTGCCATTTACTAAGGAGGGGAAGGCAATGGGAGGGACAGATGAGGGAGGAAGATTAGGAGCCTGATTTGGGACATGTTAAATTTGTAATGCCTGCTAGACATTCAAACGGAGATGTTAGGCAGGCAGTTGGTTATAAGGGTCGAGAGCCCATGGGAATGAGACACGTTGCAGATATGAATTCATTGACTTATAGATGGAATTTATAACCATGGGATTGAATGAAGCCACCAAGGGAATTAATATAAATGAAGACAAGATGATCAAGCCCTGGGGAACATTTTAAGAAGGAAATGATAAACTATATCAAATGCTGTTCCATTGTTGATTTTTCCTTCCTTCTTTCCCTCCGTTCCATGCACTTGCAACTATAAAAGTGATAAAGCTGCACAGAACTTCGCCTACCTATGCCCACACTCAGAATCAAACAGCTTTCCCATTTTTACCCTCCTTAAATATGTATTATCAATCCTGGGAAATGTGATGAACTATTGTGTTCCAATCTGGACCCCACACTACATGTGATCCCAACACAAAAATCAGGCGATTTGCGAAAGCTGAAGCAATTTAGCCTGTAAAGAAGACTTTCCAGGGAAGACGATAGTTGTAATCAACTACCTGGCAACAGAATTAAGATCCTTGATTAATAATTGCAATGATGATTTAGACTTGACAGAACCAACTTGTGGCATGAGCTGGCCAGGAAGTAGTGTGGTCTCAATGACTTTTGATTTGATGGTCACATAACTTTCAAAAATCATATTCTCTTTCTTTGAGATACTGGTGAATACTGCCGTGCACAGTATATGTCATATCTTATTGATGTCCTTGGTAGTGGTTGCTACACTGTAGTGACAGATTCTGGAAATAGCTACAACACACTTGGAATCTCACAGTCACATAATCAATCATTTTACTAAATACAAGCATATTTTCATTCACATACAGCTAAATAAAGCATTTTTCACATTTCATTACAATGCACAACAAAGTGGGGAAAAGTATACAGTACATTTTATTCTGGAATATGAGACAATCTAATCCAACATGCAGTTGTGGTCTTTGTTACAAGTTAGTTTATCTTTTCTTTACCTATGTAGTAAAATAGCTTCTAAAGCTTTATCCTTAGTATTATATTAACACCTGATTTTTTCACACTTATTTTCTAAAACCCACTTATTGCAGTGACAACAGTACTGAATTCTACTAAAATGATTTTTAAAGTTTCTAGAACTTAAGCAATTAAGCTCAGCCACCTCTGCTGGATCTATGCTGAGTATTTTTAAACCTGCCTTTAAAAATGCCAGGAATGGGAAAAGTATATGTATAATGAATTTTAGTCAAGAAAATTGTAAAGAAGTTTTGTTTCTTTCATTTTTTTGAACTGACAAGAATCCAGTCAACTCTCATTTATCCACTGGATAATCTTGCTTTCAGAATCTTCTAAACATTAATTAACTGTAGCAGTTGATGAAACTTTATGTTAACCCAATTTGCCATCTTTTATTTGCCCTTTACAACCATGAAGGTGGCAATTTAATTACCCCACTCAAGCCAGTTTGTGTGAAATGTACATGGAGAAGATGATCAGTTCACCTGTAGTTGATGCTGTGAATTGGTCCAGTGTGGTTTGCTCATCCCACTTGGGGCATAGGTGGCAGAATAGTCTTCCATGATTTTTCATTATTTGGCTTCTTTATTCTGGCTGAAGCAAATGTCCAAACTTTCAGATTCAGTCACATTCATACTGAAGTTCAATACTATATCTCAAACCAATTTGCCATTCTTAGGCTTTCCTATCACAATGGATATTAGAAACCTGACTCTAATCAGAATAGGTTTTTTATTGTGAAAAGTATGGCTTTTGCCTAGCTGAACTGGCTACAATCCAAAAAGTAATTTAAAGCATCACATCTCTTCAAGAAGATAATGGAACCTTCAAGCCAGCCATTCAAATTTGCTGATGCAGTTTGCTGTGTGTTCACCTGAGAATTAAGAGCTGACTCTCTAGAGTAGACAAGAACTCAGTATACGTATATAGCAGACAGGTGGCCAAGGTCATTGTGGGGTGAGTATTTTATCCTCATTCTACTCCCCATTGCTGCATTTGGTTCCTTTCAATAAAATGTCTATTGTGTTTCAGTGATAAGAACACTTATAGCCCACACAGTTCTAATGTGTTTTTAGTTGTGCAATTACTCACTTGTTTAAAGCCCTCTTGTCAATAATACCTGAATGGTCTTTACCTCTAATTTTTTCCCAGGTTCCCTCAGGATAATAGCTGAGTTGTAATCAATTAGGAAAACATATCCTAACATGTAGAGAACATTTATTTACAGTCATACATCTTCCAGAGTAAACAAATCCATAATTGTTTATTCATCTGACAGCAGATGATGCAGTGAAAAGAAAAGAACTAGGAGTCAGGAGTCCTTGACGTTGGCCACGTGATTCTCCTGACTCTTAGTTTAGTATCCTGTAAAATGGGGGCAGAACCCTCATGGGCCTGTTATGATCGAATAAGTAGCTCAAGTAACTATAGCTTGTTTGTCATAGTGCCTCCAGTTCAGCAGGTAAGATGAGTGAGTGCTTGCCTTAGGGCTCTTTCCAGAGGCAATCCCTGTGTTGTTGTTGTCAGGGCCTGAAGACTCAGGTGATCTATATACTGCTGGACTAGTCACCAATGCAGTGAAACCCCAGGCATGATCAGAGGAGGAAGAGAGTGTGATGTTTGGGTTACAGTATTTCTCTCTTCTCCGTATAGGGTAATTTGCATGGGACAATTTTTCTCACATACTGGTATTCCTGTCACAAAGGTGTGCATTTTCTCAAATGTGATGATAACTGTGTAGATTGCCTGCTTTTTCATATTCATATTACTTTTACTCAAACACCAGACCTTGAAGGGGCTTTAGCAAATAGCTGGTCCATGTTCCTTATTTTACAGGTAAGCTGTTAGAAGCTAATTGGTACCCTTTAACCAAACCCAGCATACACATTTGATGTAGGATATTCTCACTGAATATGGTGATCTCATAGTCTTTTTTTAGTTATGCTAATTGTTCCCAATGTGATACATTTTCCCCTTTACATATTTCTTTATGTTTGTGACCTGTGAATGAGCTGAAATACCAAGGAACGGTTGTCCTGTCTGTAGGTATGTTTTCCTGGGACCTAGCTGCCCAAACCCCAGGCCTTTAACTTGTGGTCTGCAAAGCAGCCATTGCCCAGCTTCAGCCACAAAACAGTGCCTGGCCCAGCCCACGTCAGCAATTCAGTCCCTTGGTGACAGCACCCAGGCTCCCCCATCCACCTGCACGCAAATCTGTCAGAGTTCCCCCTGAGAAGGAGGCTCACTTATCCAAATGGAGGTTGAGTTCTCTTCAGTTACACAAAGATTCTAATTGTTTCATTCACTTTTCAGTTCAGATAGGAGAGCATGTTTTGGAATTAAAGGACTGACTAGCACAAACATCTCCTCTCTGATTTGACAACCTCTTCTGAAGAGTGAACCACATTTGGTACAAATCCACTCTTCACCCCTTCCCAGCCCTCCTGGATTGTAATCTCCCCCCTTTTAACCAGCTCATATATGTCTCTTGTCAGGTCTGTGAAGGCTTTCTCCACATTAATGGCATCTCGGGCTGACGTTTCAATGTACTTCATGCCGTATGCAGCAGCCAGTTTCTCAGCCTCGTGGCGAGTCACTTGCCTCTGTGTATCCAGGTCACACTTGTGACCCACCAGAACAAATACAATTTGGTAGGGCTGAACATGTACTTTGGTCTCTTCTAACCACTCATGGACATTCTGGAAGGACCTGCGGTTGGTAATGTCAAATAAGAGAAGACCACCTACTGAGTTCCTGTAGTAGGCACGAGTGATGGATCTAAAACACAAGAAAGAAGCAAAGAGTGAAGGCCAGGCCCAGACTCCGACATGTCAGTGAGCTCAGTATCTCCTAGTGTTCCTGGCCACTAGCACAGTCCTTTAGTAAAAGTGATTTTCTTTTTCATTGTCTTAAACAGTGGAACACAAATGCCATTCCCTAATAGTAATGATATTTGAGTTTTCAACTGGACAAAACTTGAGATGACATCTTCTGCAGATAAACTCTCATGCGCCATTTGCATTTTCTCTCCATTCAGCACTAGAAAGTGACCCTGGGAGATGCCTGAGTTTTATTTTCTGCCTTCAGACAGAACCACCACTAACTCTCCCACCCCCAAATCTGAATAACTGTTGGACTTTCTCTTCTGCAAAAGCGGATACCTGAGTCACAGGGTTATCATGAGGTAAAATGAAATAATGGATGGTAAGGTGTTCTATGACATGGATAACTCCTTACAGATGCTAGTAGTCGAAACAGGATTTTAAAAAGATAAAAATGAATTCATGATAGTATCTTGAAATATACTCCACTTTCCCCATTTATCATGCTTTTCCCTTTCCATTACTGTTATTGTTATGCTTAATCTAACAGAGGTCCTCAATCTCTCCTGCAAGGAGAAACACAGTTTTGTTTTTTTATTTTCCAGGTCATGTGGGAACGGGAAAAAGAGGGATGATGAAGAGACCAGGGGCAGAGTGCCTCTCAGCTCTACTCCCTGACACATTTCAGAGAGGTCAGCTAAGGGGCTACCAGCTGGGAAAAACTACCCAAATAGCCAATGCTGCTCCTTGAGATAATATTATTTGTTAAATCTTTGTAATTAGAGTATTTCTAAAACCTATTATACACATGCTGTACATTTTAAGCAGAGGAAACCTCACATATTTTAACTTCTTGACTTAAGGACCTCATTATAAATGCTTAGAGTATATTTAGAGCTTATTAGAGGATGTAGAATTGTTTGCTTCTACGTAGAATCACTTGCTTTAGACTACTGAAATTTTTTAAAACATCCAGGGAACTGTAGTCCAAGCTAGATGATAGTAAAGCTAAACTTTACAAATGAGTTTAAGTCTCCAGAGCCAGGTAAGTCAACCCTTGGGACTGAAAACATCTCTAATTCGTTTATATTTGAAGACTCATGGAGAATGGTAGGTGTACCAGAAAATTAGACATGAGCAAAGACTTTGATTTGTTAAAAGATTGATTCAAGAAATCAGTAAGATCCACGGCAGAACTCTGGAATATATTACATTGTTTGTGAGTATTTAGCAAAGAAAGTGACAAAGCCCTTTATAAGCATGACATAAGGCTACATAAAATTTCCCCTACATCAAAAACAAATAATGTGAAAAGACAAATGACAAACTGGGAATATATCTCACAACATACATGACATAAAGAGGTTAGTATTCTTAATCTGTAAAGAACTCTTTCAAATCCACATTGCCTAATAAATAATAAGTAGTGGATATGAACAGCTGTTTGTAGAGAAAGACACCTCGAGAAAAACATAAAAGATACATTTCTTCACATGAGAAATGCAATAACAAATTCAAAGTGAACTTTTATACAAGGGTATTTGCCACAGTGTTATGTTTATGGAAGTGAGGAGTTGGAAACAAGTTTGTAATTATCTTTTCCCTAGCTCTTTTCAATTAGCTAACCAGTACTGTCTGGACACAATTAGTTTTCAATAGATACATGATCAAAACATGAACTATTGAGTCTTCTTGATCTGCTTCCTGCTGCTCTACCTGACCTTAGTTGAAACTGTTCTCTGAAAAGTTTTCTGTGTACACTGTGCTTTCTCTCACTTTTGTCTTTATACATGCTGTTTCCTATCCCTGGGCGTTTCCTGTCTTTGCTTGGGTAGTCATACTCATCCAGTCTCATCCTCTCCAGTTAACCTTCCTTGCTCTGTGCTCATACGTGTAATTACAAGTAATACATGCTACAAAAGAAAAGCAAAGGTTTGTGAGAGAAAATTAAACATATTCATTGATTACTCATTGTGTGCCAAGTATTACAGTAGGGAGTGGGCATACAAATTTGAACAAGACCTTCTTTTGTGTAATTGCTAATTATTGATTTTCCCCAGCTGTGCTAGCACAGAAGTTCCAAAAGGTAAGGGACTTTGTTTTGATTACATGGCATCCCCTTGTGTGAGTTTTCTCAGCTGTTTCCCCAGAAACAAGCCCGGGGTCTGGCACACAGTAGATGATCAATGAATGTGTGCTGGTTGCAAGAAGGAATCAATAAACTCATTGGTATCTGACTATTTTCCTTTATGTTAGGACATATGTCAGCATACACACACATAGACACATAGACACATACACTCATCGATATAGAACACAATATACATGTATCTGTCTGTTACATTAGCATGACCTGGGAAACATTTTTGAAAGTATGCAACATAGGGACTGAGATTGATGAATTGCAATGATCAATTCCAGCTAGTTTATTAGCCACCAAGAGGCGGGTTGGTGGAAGCAATATGTGTTATTGACCGGCCTTCCCTGCCAGGTCGCTTCTTTCCCTTCCCTGAACTCCCGATTAGCCAAAGGTGGGCTTCAACAGAACCCCCGACCCTCGATGTCGCCCCCCGGACCTCGAGGAGGACCAGCAAATCCTCTCTCCCCGGGGGCTGTGCAAACCCCGAAGACCCTCCCACCGCTCGCGGGCCCGGGCTGCGCTCCCACCTGAACCTCTCTTGACCCGCGGTATCCCAGATCTGGAGCTTGATGCGTTTTCCCGGCTCGATCTCCACCAAGCGGGAGAAAAAATCCACCCCAACGGTGGGGTCTGAAACCTGGGCAAAACGACCCTCGGTGAAGCGGCGGATCAGGCAGGACTTGCCCACCGTGGAATCCCCGATGACAATGAGCCGGAACTGGTACAGCCAGATGGCCTCCATGGCAGCGGCTCGGCAGGTCTCCTCGGCCTGGGCCGGGGGCAGCGTGAGGGGGCGCCCCGCCGAGGCCTGGGAGAGCGCAGCTCGGCCGGATCTAGCTCAGCAGCGAGCGCATCGCTGGCCTGGGCGCCCGAAGCGAGGTAGGCCCAGGCGCCGGGAGAGCGGAGGGATGGATGCTGCGCTCGCAAAGGTGATGAAATGGCAGCAGCATCAGCACCACGCACTCTGACTCATCACTGACAACCGGGTTACTGTAATCCCCCGCGTAGACGCGGCTCCCGGGCCACCGCACTGTCTGTAAGAGGAGCGCACACGAAAACCGCCGCGAGAGCACCGTGTGGACTTCCTTCCTAATTACCCCACACATGCTCTCTTCTTAATTTAAAATTTTCTCTATTGTAGTACCTTTTCATGGAAACTAGCGAAACAACACAAAACGGAAAGCACATAATTGTATATCCGTCTACATTTCTATGCATGCATAAACATATAAACATTATGTGTATGTATTCCCATAAGCATTTATTGCTGTTTGTTTTTACAAAAATTAAATCAAACCGGAGGCTTACTATGAAACTTGCTTTTTGCAATTAATAAAGGTTTATACACATGTCTCCATTTCCAGCTCATTTTCCTTTTGTCATAACAATGCTGCAATAAAGATTACTTCAAGTGTAGCCACAAATACTTGATTTCTATGAGCTACAGTCTTAAAAGAGGAATCATGAATTTAAAGACTATGATTATTTGTAATTTATTGATCATGGACATTATACTATACAAAACTATTTAGCAATTGAAATTCTAGCGAGTGATGTGTGGAAAGACCATTTCTCTACATTACTTCAAGCATCACGTGTTTTATTTCTTCTTATTTCTTGTCGATCTGGTGTAGTTAAATAAAAAGATATCTTATTGCTTGATTTTACAGTCCCCTGACTACTAATGAGGTCAACACCATGCCTTGTACATCAACTATTCGCATTTCATCTCCTGAGAATTCTTTTGTATTTTTCTGTTATCTTTTATCATAACCTTATTCAATAAAAAATTTATGACTTATTGATTTCTAATTTCATTCCACGCGGTCAGAAAACATACTTTGGATTGTTTCTATCGTTTTACATTTCCTGAGGTTTCTTTTATGACATAGTACATTTTCCATTCTGGAGAATTCTCCATGTGCATTAAAAAAAATGTATATTCTCTTGTTGAGCGGAGTGGTACGTGGGGGGACCAAAAAAAAATACCAGAATTATCTTTTGAAGGGTGGGCCCTTTGTAGCACACTTGGAATTTTTCCTCCAGATCAGATGGTCAACCAAAGTTTTTATCTGGAAGTTTGAGAAGGTTGCATCACAGTGTGCAGAAGAAACGTCCCAATTTGTGGCAAACAGGCTCTTCCACCATGACAAGGCACTTGCCTGCACCATGCTGAGTGTTCAGTGGTTTTTGACCCACTCTCCCTCTTCACCCAATCTCGCCCTCGAGCGACTTTTTCATTTGTTTTGTTTTGTTTCCCCAGATGAAAAAAGTCCTCCAAGATAACATTTTGTCAATGTGGAAGAGGTGAAACAAACAAACGGTAGAAGCACAAAGGCATCAAAACTGACAAGTTCAAAAACTGTTTTGAGCAGTGCAGAAAGCGATTTGAGAAGTGTGCTGTGTCAAATGGTGAGTATTTTGAAGGTGACTGAAGTTTAAACATGTAAGAGAACACATTTTTTTATAAACACATTTCGGCTTTTTTGGGTTCCCCCTCATATACATGTCTGTTATGCCTAGTTGGTTTATAAAGATTTAGACATGCTTTCCACTTCCTTGTTAATTTTCTGTGTAGTTGTTCTATATATTATTGAAAGTGGAGTATGTCGTCTCCAAATATTTTTATAGAATGATTTTTTACTTTAACTGTCAGTTTTTGCTTCATGTATTTTGGAACTCTGTTATTAGATGCATATGTATTTGTAATTTTTGTGATTTGTATCTTCCCAATAGATTTTTTCCCAATAGATTTCCCTTTTTTATTATAAGTATAAAATAGTTTGTTTATTTATGGGTTACATGTGATGTTTTGATACGAGCATACAAAAACAAATAAACCAGTTTAAAAGTGGATAAAATTCTTAATAGACACTTCTCAACAGAAGACATAAAAATAGCCAATAAGTATATAAAATTCCCAACATCACTAATTATTAGAGAAATACAAGTCAAAACTACAATGAGATATTATATCACCCCACTTAAGATGGCTTTTATCCAAAAGACAAGCAATAACAAATGCTGGTGAGGATGTGGAGAAAGGGGAACCCTTGTACACTGTTGACAGTATGTAAATTATTAATAGTACAGTCACTATGGAGACCAGTATGGTTGTTCTTTTAAAAGCTAAAATTAGAAGTATCATATGATCCAGTCAGTGATCCTACTGCTGGATATATACAGTAAGTCCCCTACATACGAACATTTAAATTGTGAACTTTCAAAGATGCAAAAAGGCGTTTGCATGTCCAATCATGTAATCAGTAAGTTAGTTCACCTGTCTTTCATGCATTGGCACGTGAAAGAACATTTGCCCACAGTTTGTTCATGATTTTCATGAATTTGATAAGGTGGATGAGGAGTCGGAAAAGTCTTCTGCTGGAGGTAGAGGAAGTAACTAAAGAACCAGACAGGTTCAGGACGCACGAAATGGCAAGGGGGTTTTCTTTACTTGAGGCGGCACTGTTAGTTTTTGAGGCGCAAGACATGAAAGTAGAACAATACACAAAGGTTGCAGTAGCCATTCATAATGCAATCTATTGCCATCTATGACGAGAAAAGGAGCTATTACCCAGGCAGCACTGAATCACAATATTAGTATTTATAAATATCCAAGATACAAAAGTAACATATTGTCCATCAATAGATAAATAAACAAAATGTGGTACATATACACAATACAATATTATCTTGTCATAAAAAATGAAATCCTGTCATTTACAACAACGTGGATTAAACTGGAAAACATTATGTTAAGTTAAGTAATCCAAGCACAGGAAAACAAATATCGCACGTTCTCATTAATATGTTTGTATGTAAGGGACTTACTGTATAAACCCAGCAGTGGGATCACTGGATCATATGATACTTCTAATTTTAGTTTTTAAAAGAACCAACCATACTGTTCTCCATAGTGACTGCACTTTTAATATTTTACATCACCATCAACAGTGTACAAGGATTCCCCTTTCTCCACATTCTTACCATTTATCCATTTTTCTTTGGTTGTTGGTGTATTTGAGGCATTATTCAAGAAATCTTTGCCCAGACCAATATGCTGTAGTATTTCCCCAATGGTTTCTTCTAGTAGTTTTACAGTTTCAGGTTTGACATTTAATACTTTAACCCGTTTTGATTTGATTTTTTGTACATGGTGAGAGAGAGAGGTCTGGTTTTATTTTTCTGCATGTGGATATCCAGTTTTTCCAGCACTGTTTAATAAAGAGACTATTCTTACCCTAGTGTATGTTCTTGGCACCCTAGTGAAAAATGAGTTGACTGTAAATGCATGGATTTATTTCTGTGTTTTCTTTTTTGTTGCATTGGTCTATGTGTCTATTTTTATGCCAGTACCAGGCGTATTAGTTACTATAGCTTTGTAGTATGATTTGAAGTCAGGTATTGTTATGTCTCCAGTTTTGTTCTTTTTGCTCAGGATGTCTTTGGCTACTATGTGTATTTTGTGGTTCCATTAAATTTTTGTATTTCTGTGAAGAATGTCATTGAGTATTTTGATAGAGATTGCATGAAATCATACTTCATGAAGATTGCTTTGGGTACTATGGACATAACAATATTGATTCTTTCAATACATGAGCATAGAACAGCTTTCAATTTCTTTGTCATCAATTTCTTTTATCAGTGTTTTATAGGTTTCATTGTAGAGGTCTTTCACTTATTTGGTTAAGTTTATTCCTACATATAAAGTTCATTTGTAGTTATTGTAAATGGGATTACTTTTTTGGTTTCCTTTTCATATTGTTTGCTGTTGGCATACATAAATACTACTGATTTTAGTATGTTGATTTTGTATCCTGCAACTTTACTGAATTTGCTTATCAGTTATAATAGTTTTTTGGTAGAATCTTTAGTTTTTTTTGTAAATAAAAGATTATATTGCCTGCAAACAAGGATGCTTTTACTTATTCCTTCCCAATTTGGATATTCTTTATCTATTGATCTTGTCTAATTTATCTGGCTAGGATTTCCAGTACTATATTGACTAAAAGTGGTGAAGGTGAGCATCCTTGTCTTGTTCCAGATTTTAGAAGAAAGACTTTTGCTTCCAGTTTTTCTTCATTTAGTATGACACTAACTGTTGGTTTTTCATATATGGCTTTTATTATGTCAAGATATATTCTTTCTAGACCCAGTTTTTTGAGAGCTTTTATTATGGAGATATGTTGTATTTTATAATATGCTCTTTCAGCATCAATTGAAATGATCAGATGACTTTTGTCCCATATTTTCATGACAAGATGTGTCACATTTACTGATTTGCATATGTTGAAACACACTTGCATCCCTGGGATAATCCCATTTGGTCATAATGAATGACCTTCTTAATGTGTTGTTGAATTTAATTTACTAGTATTTTGTTGAGAAACTTTGCATCTATATTCATCAGAGATATTGGCCTGCAGTTTTTGTTGTTGTTGTTGTTGTGTCTTTGTCTTGTTTGGGTATCAAGGTAATACTGCCCTCACAAGTCTGGAAGCATTCCTTCCTCCTCAATATTTGGGAATGGTTTGAGTAGGATTTCTATTTAAATGTTTAATGGAAGCCGGGCTCGGTGGCTCAGCCTGTAATCCCACGCCTTTGGGAGGCTGAGGTGAGTGGATTGCCTAAGCCCACGGGTTCGAGACCCGCCTAGGCAGGCAAGACCTCATCTCTACAATAAATAAAAAAATTAGCCAGGCATGATAGCGCGTGCCTGTAGTTCCAGCTACTTGGAAGGCTGAGCGGAAGGATTGCTGGAGCCCGGCAGGTCGAGGCTGCGGTGGCCGGGAGCAGCTACTGCACTCCAGTCTGGGTGACAGAGTGAGACTCCAACTCAAAAAAAAAAAAAATGTTTGATGGAGTTCAGCAGGGAAGCCATCAGGTCCTGGGTTCTTCTTTGATGGGAATTTTTTTTATTACTGCCTATCTCATGACATGTTATTAGTTTATTTAGGTTTTGGATTTCTTCACAGTTCAATCTTGCTAGGCTGTATGTCTAGGAATTTATCCATTTCTTCTAGGTTCTCCAATTTGGTGCACA